AAAAAAAAAAAAAAAAAAAATCAATAAATTCTGATTAAACATTTTGTGTCTGACAAAACTGTAACAATATAAAAATGTAAAACGTTGATAGAAATGTAAAATAAGTTGGAGAATTTGATCGCCAGACAACAATTTACAAAAGTAAGAGTCAAACCTGTCTGCGTCTCTTTGCTCTTTGGCATCTTGTTCCAGCTCCTCTGACCAGGTTTGTAGTTTTGATAGTTTGCTCTTCTCCCACCTCTGGCCTGAAGGGGAGCATTCCCTCCTGAGCCTCTTCCACCTTTGCCTGCAGAATCCTGAGATGCTCGCCCCTGATCAGAGTCATCTTGGCCACTGGCTCCCTTCTCTGAGCCTGGCTCCTCTTGTGATGGTTGTTTGGGTGGTTTGATTGGTCCTTGCCGTCGCTTTAGGTCAGTGTGTTTCCTCTGATTATTGTCATGTTGGGACTCTGAGTCTTCTCTCTTCCTCTGATCCTCCACTGTGGTGTTGTTCTCCTTCCAACTGCCATTATGTTCTCCCTTTCGCTGCTCCTGACTAAACTTCCTTGGTTTTTTAGCCTGGGCATCCTGGTCCTCATTAGTTTGTTCCGTATCCCTGTTTGCACTTCCTCGCCGCCAGTTGGGTCCATCAGCACCACCCATGGGATGTGCAAAAGCATGGACGCCACTCATGTATCTGTTGCTGCCACCGTATGGATCACCTCCAGGTCTTTGCCGCCATGGCACAGAACCTCCTCTGTTCCCTTCTCTCCACCCTCTTCCTCTGCCTCGCCTTCTGCCTTCATCTCCTCCTTGGTAAGGAGGACGATGATGATCTTCATAATTTGATCTATGGCTAAAAGGGGGATTAGTGCCCTGATTAAAGGGTCCATACTGATGACAGGTCTCATTACTGTTGTTACTGAGGTGTCTGTCATTGCTGTGTCTGGGTCGGCCTCTTCTGGGTTTATGCTGATGTGACGTTTGATGTTGCGTCTGATCTGGATTGAGGTCAGGTGGGTCTGCGACAAGAAAACAGAACCAAGTTATGAGCAACATCAAATAGATTTAGAGGAGCAAAAAACACTTAAAACTTTAAACTAAGCAGGACAACATCATTTATTGTCATTTTGCAAGAATTTCGGTGATCGTTGTGATCTATTTACTTATGAGATGACATTTTAAATTGCATGGGACAAATAAAGAGTGCAATAACATTTATCCATGAGCAAATAATGTTATAGACAGATTTTTTTTCCTGCATATGGGAAAATGTTTGCACCCGCCGGTGTAAAATTATCATGACCACTTTTTGTGATTTGCAATACCGTTTTGTTTACGAAACCCTAAAATACATTTCGGTATGTCAAAAGGCCAAAAGCAAGAGTTCTGTTGAGTAGAGTAAACCCAGACTCTATGCCTTAACTATATGGGGACGATCTGTTCTTATGTGCAATTTAAAACCTTAAAGTCAGTATGTACAAGTAATGAAACTATGGAGTCTGAAATTAGCATGACAGCTCTCGATTTTATGGATAGCAACATGTACCATCATCTGGCGTGCTGTTGCCTTTCAAAGTTCCCCGGCTGTCACGTGTCGTTACCTCATCCACGAACTGCACGATCACTCAGAGATGCTAAGCTAACATTAGCAACCCAGAGCAAGTGAACAGAAAACTGCGTAAGCTAAAAGTTTATGTTTAGGCTGCTTAAGGTTGTCCAGCTAACACAACTAGCAAGAGAGTGTGTAACTGTTAGCGAAGCTGCTAAAGTCAGTACTTCAGAGTGATTTAAGAGTCGGTTTAGGCTGCTTCAGGTTCCTGTGAGTCACTGTTATTAAAACTGCACATTAGTTACCTGAGAAGCCCTCGGCCATTCAGTCTGAGCACTGCTTGTTGCTTGTTCCGCAGCACGTAAAGGGCAGCTTTAAGAGAAATGACACGCGTGTCCACGCCCTCCTCGACCGTATCCACCCTGTTTCCTGTCTTCTGGTTCTTAAAAATGATCCGAAACCCCTTAAAAGCGACAGTAATCTTCCCTTGCCTGCCTCGCACCTTATTATTATGAGCTAGCTAGTTAGCTAACGTTTACCGCAGACGTCACAAACGGAACTTCCGGTCAGCGCTTAAAAAAATAAAACCAAAATAAAACGTTTTCAAAGTTGATATTACTACTGCATGGAGCACACACCAAGAAATAAACGGAGGGATTACGCCAAAGTAAAAAAATAAGACAGTCGTGATAAAAAATACATAAGAAATGAAGTCTTTCATTTCTAAGGCTTTACACATTTCATAATATGAAAATAACACTTTTTAGTATAACCTCAGATGAACAGCAAGACATGACATACTACACACAATACATCACAGTTACACAAAAAGCCAAAATGAAGAAACAGTGGGGCAAAAGCTAAGTATACTCACATTTGTGGCTGCAAATGGAAGTTATTGTATATAAATGTTCGAGTCAATATATGGATTATTCCCATTATGCACATATGAACACTATGTGTTCTTTCCTTTTGATCTCTGACTATAAAAATTTGCTTTCATTTTAAATTATATATGTATATATATATATATATCAACTCAAAATCATGCCCACAAGGTGGCGCTTCGTGTTTGGGTTTGTATACCAGAGACTAAGGAGGGCTTTCCCGATTGAAACTTTGGGGAAAAAACAATATCAATGTAATCTGTACTTCTGCTTATGCTTTAATATGCCCTGTGCTGCATACAGAGGTACTTTCATGGAGTAGATTTATGCAGTTTTAAAAAGGAAGTGAAAGTCAATATTAGTAACTAAAAACTAGATGGAGTTAATAGACTATACTTTGCCCTTTTCATTATGACCTGAGAAGTGATAGAGGACTAGGATTTGCAGATGTGTTTTGTAACCAGTGCAGTCCTCTGGACCAGAACCCCGCGATCATGGCCCCGTGGACCTGTACCTAGTGGGCCTATTTAGTCATCCTGGGATGGCTGGGAATCAGTGTCATTGCCTCAAACATTATGCAGATAAAAATAATAGCAAAATGTCCACCAGGCTCTATTACATTAATCCTACCTTTATAGCCAAACAGGTGACCTTCAAACTGACACACATTTCCCTGAAAAAACAATTGTAACACTAGTCATTTTCCCCAGGTGACAGTTAACAAGCTAAACTACAAGAAAAACCGAGAACAAGGACCACAGAGCAATACTAGCATTAGGGAAATAATGCAATGGCATATTTGCTGGTACTAAATCGTAAGTGAACTTAAAAAGCTGCTACTGAGCAAATCCTAAAATTAAACTGGAAAATACTGTACTGGAAACCCAAAGGACATCAAGTCAACTGGCGATTTTTCCACCTTTGATGGCAACTAAGTGAACCCACAGTGCTTAGATGGGTTTCTAGTCTTCAAAATATTACCCAAGAATAAAAACATCCCATAAAATAAAAATTACTCGTGTGTTCTTTTCCCTTTCAGGCCCACAGCTACACCGACGGACCATTCTGCAGTTACTAAGTCCAGATCACGCATGCGTACAGCAGCCCCCCGTCCTAGTCAACCAGGCGAGGTGGGCGGGAGAGATATTTGTAAAACATTCAGTTTATGAACATAAAAACGGATATTGTGGAATTTAATTTCAAAATAAAAGTATAAAAATCATGTGACACGAACACATTTTCCCCTTATAAATGCTTACTAGCCGCTATGATATGTTTTATATTAGTACACTGAAAATTCACGATAGAAAAATCAAGCTATCGTCAGCTCTACTGACAACAATCTGAACAAAAATGGATGATAAATGTTATTTTTGTGCATATCTTTCTCTTAAACACATATTTAGACGTTTTAAGCTTACCGCCTTTTATATATAGTCTTTTCCATTCATTAAAAATGCATTTACGTAATGTAAAAGCGTTAGCTGGTGTTTTATATTGAAATTACTGCCAGGAAGTCGCGCTTTGTCTCAGCGCAAGCTTGACATCGCTTCTGAGCAGCTCCGAGCGCAGGAGAGAGTGGCAGTGAATGTGTCTGCGGCAGCGTTTAGCTTTTAAAAAACCTTAAACTACGACAGAAGAAAACGGGACCAAAGTACCAGACGAACTCGGCAGACCGTGGACTATGATAAAATTTAAACCGAGCCTGGTAACGTCGCGCGGTTTTGACGACAAGCGGCTTTTTGCACATCTGTAGAGCATAATGAGGGCATCCGCTATTCTTTACGCCGCTTTTCCCTCCGTGGTTTAGTTAGACGCAGAGTGACACTATTTATAAATGTGTCGCTTTTAGACATCTTCTCGCGGAAAATACACACCGAGAGGGGGACCCAGCCTGCAGATATTTGGTAAATTCCCTCCTGCCGTGGGCCCTTGGGAACAGTGAAGTCATTTGAGAAGTCACAGGAGAAGAAGACACGTCTTAATCATCTCGATAGTTCAACGCAGTTTTGCAGGGGGAAAAATCGGCTTAGCCTTTCCATCGGCCGTACAGTCCCCCCCATCGTGCTTTCTATCTATTTTTAAATCTTACATGGTTTTGTCTTTCTGAGCATTCATCGCCAACCCTCCTGTGGGCATTTACCCCCTCACAGTTAAAGGATGCCGGATCAAATATCGGTGTCCGAGTTTCTCTCGGAGACAACAGAGGATTACAATTCCCCGACAACATCCAGCTTCACCACCCGAATGCAAAGCTGCAGGAATACAGTGAATGTGCTGGAGGAGGTAAGGCCACGGTGTGAGCCTGTTGAGGATGGATGGATAATTACAGCCACACAGACTGTAATATTATTGTTGTTGTTATTTAATAAAGAATGATACTAATGAGGCGAAATGCACCATCTCTGAACGGGGATGCATTTTTTATAGAGCCAAGGCTGCATGCAATCCACCTTAAATTCCGCTGGTAATGTTTGAAAGCTTTGAAAATCCCCTCAGACCTCCAGATGCATTAATATGCGCAGAGGAAAGGGGAAAATAATTGCACCTGTTGCCCCTAAAGTGCACCTATTTCAGCCTAAGACCTGATGCAAAATAGTGTGTTATCTCGCCTGATATGAAGAGTAAGAATAGACGGGGTGGATGGCTTTGCTGGAATAGAAAGATGTGCATTCAGGCCTGCAGCTCACTGTGTTCACTATTACATAACTCAAGGCTTTAGAGCATGCTGCCAGGCTGTAGCAGAGAAAACCCTTTTCCTAGTATTCAGATCTGGATTCTGTGTTATTCCTCATTCCTTGCTGTCACACAGGCCCAGCACACTGATTTGTATCTCCAAAAAAAAGCAGAAAACGTTTGCAGGGGAAACACACCCAAAGTCACACGCTGTGATGCTGTGTCACCTCTGATCATGCAGGAAGAGGTGTAATCATGTCAGGCAGGTGAGCTGTGAAGTGTTTGTCTCCCTTCTTCCTGCCATGATTAAATGGAGCATCAAACCAGGGGCGCGCACACCTTCACCGCCGTCCATTAATGCTAAAATGTGACCTCATTTCCCGCTTTGAAGCACATTTAGCTGCAGACGTGAATGACTCCAGGCTTGCAGGAGCGTTCAGTGTGATACCAGCTTTCCATTTAGGATGAAAATGAGCCGGCTGGTTAGTGTGGAGGAGAAAGCACAGGCCCAGTCCCCTTGCTCCAATATACAAAATCACATATAAAAGCACACAATCTGTGCCATCTGTCATGTCTTCTTCTACAGCTTTATCATATCGTAACAATAGGAAATCTACCAAAACAGAGCCGGGCTCGTGTTTATTCTCAACCTGGAGCCGTCTCTCAGTCTGCTGACTGTAACAAGAAAAAGGCTCGCATCATGAATCACCTCTCTGGCTCTGTGCCTCTGAACTGAGAGACTGCAGCAGCACAAACGAAAAACATCTGTTAGAGAGGGCCGCCATGTGCGCTGGGCTTCAGTAGCCGCTCTGGAATTTTTTTTTTCTTTTGCATCGAGATCACATGACAGAGGAAGAACCGTTAAACTGGCACCAAAGAGCGAGCGACATGCTTTTCAGTGTTTTAAACAATGGCGAGATGCGCCTGAAACATTCCTGGCAGAGAAAACGAGCCTGGCGGGTCACTCAGATTGGGATACACCCATCAGGCTGTGGCAGACACAGGGAGCAGACAGCCAGCTTAAAGCCCTGAATACTTCTAGATTCATGTCTGTTTTATTGAATTAGCAACCCTGTTTGATCCCTGCAGAGTCTTGCAAGGACTCACTTGCATCATGCACAGAAAACCGCCTTCAGCTTCACTGTGCCTGAAGAGGAGTTTGTTTAAAATGCTCTGGAGCTTTTGTTCTCAATTCAAAGCA